GCTAGTTTTTCATCAGCTGGGGCTCTGCGGGTTGTCTAAAGCAGTGGTTTTCAACCTTTTTACTGCTGGGGACCAGTGAAAATAGAGAAATTTTGCGGGGGTCCACTGAGGCAGAAATAAAAAGCATTGTATACATAATATAGTATTTTGTATATTGGGTTTTAAATATAATACCAAAAATGATAACTCTCTAAAATAACCAGAAACCGAACAGTAAAAATGCTAACAAAAAATAAAATATTGAAATTGAATGTAATCAAGTACAACTGAAATTTTTAGAGAGCAATATTTAATTCAAATAAGGATAGTGCAAAATCTGCTGTTGCTTCTTTTCAAGCATACTTGATCAAAATTTACATTAGTAAAATACAGAATCGATATAAATGCAATACTATACTCACAGCAAACACAATTTCAAATACAATCTTAACAGCAGAGCAATACAAAATCAGACAAAGTTACTTAGTACAATGATATTCATAATGTTAAATAATGAAATAGAACGAGCACCACTCATTCAAACACCCATAAGTACCAGCAGAGATCAGCTAGGAAAACACAGTTGACACAACCCCGTCAGAGCATTTCCTTAGCAGCAGAGAAGGCCAGGTCTTCAGGGCCCACCGGCAGCGCAGTTCCGGCTCCCAGCCGGCTCCCGTGGAGCTGTCTCTCCAGCCAAGACCCAGCCCACGTTCCGGCGCGCTGCATCGCCCTGCACCTCGTGCGGAGCTGCTCCAGCTTGTTCCCTCCTCCTGCTATGAGCTCAGTTCCCCTGGCGAAAGCAATGGAGCGGGCTGAGCACGGGTTGCTGCTCTCCGTGCCGCCCTAGGCACCTGCCCCGCCAGGGCTTCCTCATCGGGGCTTTTTTGCAGACCAGTAGGAACTCTCCTATGTGCCCTGACCAGTCTGCGGACCAGAGGTTGAAAACCACTATCTAAAGGATGTTGCTTCTTCCACGGGATGTGGGAATTGTTTTCCAGCAGACATAAAGGCATGATTGTGATATCAAAATCATTGTGGAGGTTGCCAGTGAAATATCACAGTCAAACGCTTGGATAATCCATTAAGTGAATAGAAGATTAGTCAAAATGAACGATAAAGCTAACGATTTCATCTTGTCCTTGATGGCTAAGGACGTAATGAAAACCTCATGAATGATAAATTGGCCAAGTTAGTTTAAAATGGATTTGATGAAAGCCAAGGAGAGGACAAGCTTGTGCTCTGTTGATTTACGCCTTCCAAATTTCAGCTTTCTGAATTCAGTTCTGGCGTTCGCACTGGCCTTTACACGTTGAATGTAGGGCAAACCTTTAAGTGGAGATCTTGGCGCCCCTTTGGAAAGCCAAAAGAAAACCATGCTGTATTTGCAGTGATTAGCAGCAGTGACTGCCTTGGCTGAGTTCTTGCATATTAAAACTGGGATGTTCAAACACCGGCTTGCTAGCAAGAGTGAGAGAATTTAAAAACCAAACAATGACAAAGGGAATTGATGCTTATGCAGAACGCATCAGGAAATTTCAGGAACATTATCAAGGCAGTACATTTCTCCAAATTAACTGCACATAACAATCTGCATTTACTGTCCCTTTATACTTTCTCAAAAACATCCTCCCAAGTTATGAGAACTAATTTACTGTTTCTGCATTCCTAAACGTCATTTGCTTCTCCTCCTGCATGTTCATTGATGTTTCTGCCCTCTGCTTCAGGAGAATGGCTGATAATTTCTCCACAAATGTGTGTGTATACACATGGTATCGAAGCTTCCAAATTAAGAACACTGCTAGAAAGAGGTTCTATGGAAATAAATGGCAAACAAACATCATCCAGGTGTTCTTTGACAACAATACCCATCACATTAGTATTGCATTAGGGTGGCCACCACTTTTTTTCCATCAGACACCTCATCTTTAACAACTACATGGCAGGCAAGCACTTCCTGTTCCTCTCAATGCTGGGAAGCATTGATCCTGACTCCTGGTTCCTGACTCCTAGCAGATCAGAGCAAGCTGCCCCAGCTGGTCTAGGACCTCTGGGATACAAGAGGCCAAGCAGGGAATGAGTGACCAGAGCGGGTGAACAGAGAGATACTTTAATACATGTCTGAGAAGCAGAAATATCCTCATATCCTTCATATTCTTTGATTCCATTCGGATGGGCTCAGTCATCTATATTAATCGATCTGTATGCCCCAAAAAATCTAGAAAATAATGGTGAATTCACCCCTCTGTGGATGGCTTCATGTGAATGAATGATGAAGTTCGGAAACATTTATACAGTCACATAAGCCTATTTCAGTTATTTTCCCCATTCTTTAAATGTGGGCTCTTTAAGTTTCAATGACAGGTTAATTAAGGATACCATTCATTGCATGTTTAGACAGAAAAAAAGTCCCAGAATCCTTGCTGGTGGGAAAATACTGGGAATTCTAGGATTTTTCTGCCTAAATGTGCAGAGGATTGTGCCCTGACAAAATTGTCTCATTTTGATCAATAAAACAGCCATATCCCGTCTGAGAACATGCCACCTGATCTGATCTTGATAAACTTGCATGCTGGGCTGAAAGCAACAGAATGAAATTCAATAAGGACAAGTGCCAAGTCCTTCAGCTAGGAAACGGAAACCAAATTCATTGGTATAAGATGGAGAATATGTGGCTCAACAGAACTGAAAAAGAAAAAGATCTTGGAGTAATTGTGGGTAATAGGTTAAATATGAGCCAACAATGCAATGCAGCCTCCAAAAGGGCAAATGCTATTTTGGGGTGCATTAACAGAAGTATTACCTTCAAATCAGGAGAAGTAGTAGTTCCTCTATATTCCTCACTAGTCAGACCTCACCTGGAATGCTGTGTCCACTTCTGGGTACCAAGATTTAAGAAAGATGCAGGTAAATTAGAAAGGGTCCAGCGAAGGGCAACAAAAATGATCCAGGATTTGGAAACACTGCCCTATGAGGAGAGACTGAGGGAACTGGGGATGTTCAGCCTTGAGAAGAGAAGGCTGAGGGGGGACATGATATCCTCTGTCCCTCAAAGAGGAAGGTCAAGATCTTTTCTCACTGAGTGTAGGACACAAAATAATCAACTCAAGCTGTGACAACCCAGATTCAGGCTGGACATCAGGAAAAGCTTCCTGTCAGAGCAATAGGACAGTGGAACCAACTGCCTAGAGAGGTGCTGGGCTCTCCCACACTGGAGACATTCAAAAAGAACCTGGACAGCCATCTGAGTGGGATGGTGTAACTTGGGGTCCTGCCACAGCAGGGGGTTGGTCCCGATGGCCTTCATGGCCCCTTCCAACCCTATTATTCTATGATTCTATGTTCTGGAAGTAGCATTTCTATCAACAGAAAGAAATCACTACTGGGTTACTTAAAGGCAATAACAATAATTCAAAATATTCTTATCAAAAATATTGTGCATGAATTCTTGTGAGTGTGTATAATCTGGGCTATGTTTTTAAATGTATCCAGTTAATCAATTAATATAGCTGGTTTAAGCAAAGCTGCTGTTTTGTCCTCAAGAGAAATGCAAGTAGTGTTAATTGCTACAGATGTCCTTAGGGGACCTCAAATCGTTTGTATTAAAATAAACTAAATCTTCCCTTTCTGGCAAATGCAAATCATAAGAGGGAAATGTGAAATCTATGTTTGGAATGTGCAATGCATTCTGATTAGCTCCTTGTTAATCAGAGCAATTACCAGAGGCTATCACAATACTAAAGGTTGCATTCAGGCTGGTCCTTTGTGACGTGTCTGTCATAATAATTACGAGATTGCACTTCACACAGTCAACAACTTCCCTTCGAGCTGAGCAGTAACAGGCAGCCACGTTTGTGTTGGTATGGGACTAAATCGCTCCACCTTCGAGGAGAGAAGCACAAGTGGGATTTTGGCTCTGAAGATTTGTAGCCTGCTCAGTAACTTGAGGTATATAGAAACATAGAAAACAGAGTGAGTCAGAAGGGGCCTCCCGGGCCATCTAGTCTGACCTCTGGCACCAGCCGGCTCCGCTCACGACATGCCCACCATGTGGACGTCCAGCCTATCCTTGAACACCCGCACCGATGGGGCCTCAACGACCTCTCATGGAAGCCCATTCCACACCCTCGGGGTCCTGACTGTCAGGAAGTGCTTCCTGGCATCCAAACAAAACCTTGGCTCCCTGAGCTTTGCTCCATTGGAGCGCGTTCTGCCTTCCTCTGCAGGGGAGAACAGGTCTCTACCCATCTCCATGTGACATCCCCTCACATACCTGTATGTCGCCAACATATCCCCTCTGAGTCTCCTCTTCTCCAGGCTGAAGAGACCCTGTTTCCTCAGTCTCGCCTCATACGGCATCCCCTGCAAACCAGCCACCAGCCTTGTGGCCCTACGCTGCACTGACTCCCATGGACATTAGAAACCTAGCCATTTCATCCTCATCCAAATATGTGCAAGTCCCTCCTTTTTGCTACCAGTTTTCGCCACACCTTGGCCCAGTTCTTCATCCCCTGGGATTCTTACCTCAGCCACTGCTTCCCCAAGGCATGCAACGTTGTGGCACAGGCTGGAGCTCCACTGCACAGCACACGGTTTGCATGCAGACAATTCCAGGTTCAGTCCTTGGCATCCCCAGTGAGTGGGGTTAGAAAAGTCTGCCAGTCAGCTCAAAGAGAGAAGGAAACTTTTTGCTCCTAGTGACTGCACGTGACGGTAGACTATGAATCAAGGACTGCGTGCCAACAGTGGCTGCTGCTGGAGTCAGCAATGTGGGGAGGGCTTGGTCTCCCTTGCATGTACACACGTGCGGAAACACACACAGGCAGAGTGTCTTCCCTGACTGACTTGGACAAGCCAACAGAGACTGAGCAGTAGGCGTGGGAGCACGCAAGCCAACAAGTGCCACTCCACCTTTTCCACCCGCTACCACTGTGCAGCTGATTAGCTCTGAAATCAGCTGAGACTACACTAACCAGCATGCTTCCCCGTGCTAATCAACAAGAACAGCACACAAAAAGATGTAGCAGAGATCAATTATATTCCAGAAAATGCAAAGTCTTTCCATTGAAACAAATAGAAGGCAAGCTTTTCCTCACATTAGATCAATGCACAGATTAAGATCATCAACTGTTGTCAAGTGTAAAAGAAAATAGAATTTATTGCACACCCAACTGAGTTTGAGGTATTGTGATCTTTGGCGGGTCATTCGCATGTGCAGGTTAATGCCATCATAACCATTTGGGGTGGATTTACATTATTTTTTTTTAAAGGCTGCTGATCAGTCATTAATCACAGTCACCATTTTCAAAGAGAATTTCGTCAACTTTCACATCACCCTTGGATACAGGGACCATGTCGCATAGTTGTTCTTTGAAAGCCAAGGCAATAGTGTACGGTTTTCCTCTGGGATGTAGCATGCACCTGCTGAGGTACGTATCATAGTACCCTTTTCCTCTTCCCAGTCGGTTGCCAGTTTTATCAAAACCAAGTCCTGGCATAAGGATTAGATCAAGACCCTCTGTTGATAAAAAAGAGAGAGAGATATATATTTCAGTTAAAATATTACTGGCTTTCCAAACCCAGATTTTCTGTCTCGTTTTCTATTGATGGAAGGTGAAATAGATGAGAGTTTGGCTCAAGATCACACAGAAAATTTCATAATGGGGTAGGGGTTTATTTATTATTCGTTATTTTCTAACATACAGTCTGCTTTTCTGCCCCCAAAAACGGTGCTTAAAGTACTGTAAGAAATACAAAGTTTAAACACAAATGGAAGATTTAAATACAAACTGTAATAAAACCAAGATTAAAGTAAATTTAGTTAAAATAGTCACGGTAACAAACAGATTATTTAGAATTGCACAGAAAGGAGAAATAAAATAGCACTGAATCCAACTGAATTCACTTCAATAACAGATCAGCTTACATACCTTATCAGATCAGGCACCAGACAAACAGACTTGGAAACTCAGGGCAACAGCAAAAAGAAAACATCCATCCCAGCTACAATCTGTTTCACCTCTTATAGAGGGACATCTAGAGAGGAGCCACCAAAGATGACCCAACCTGGTGGGGGCTTTCCACTAGGAGCAAGCTTCTTAAGGTGGCAGTCCTATGTCACCAATCTAAGTGAGGCTTCCTTCTGACCAGACATTTGCAAGATGATACAGTCAGACATTTGAGGTATCTTCTGTTCAGTTCTGATAGTGATGTGTGAGAAATTCACGCCATCGAGGTTTTTTTTTATGGACGTACCCAATTTGCACCTTCCTGACCTGAATGCAATTCGTGATTATTTCCAGGCCTGTGATGTATTCCATAAAAGGGGTGGGGGGTGTTTGACGAGAGGCGTGCATTTGAAACATGTGCAAAGGAAAATGTGTGCTTCTCAAATGCTTTAGTCAGTGAACGCCTACGTCCCAAGATGCACACATTAAAATGCACACAAGTACATTACATTGTTATGAGTTCATTCCAAAAAATGTGTACAAATTCCTGTGCAATTTAAAAGTAATCTAGAAATATATTGCAAAGTCATGCAATGATGGGATAGAATTGAGACTGACCCCAAAAAACACAATTGCAGCAAGACCAAGACTGATAGATCTATCTTTCCCTAAAATCCAACTTTCTCACCAGAATACAACTGGTCGCCGTTTCCTGTTGGTTTCTTCCATATTGCATCCAGTATCTCTGACTTTCTGCATGCTTGGGCAATACTTACAAACCCCAGTCAAATGGCAGCAGATTCACATTTTCACTTTATTGCTTTGGGTTTTCTTTCACCTTCTTTTTCTAATGCCCAAGTGGCTTCTCAGAGCAATCCCATTATACAGTGATCACACAAACTTGTAAAGAACCCTACCAAACATATTACTCACCCACCTGCTGATGCAAACCTAAATACATATTTAAGGTATGTTTCTCCTGGGGGACCCAGGACCTAGTGGAAGCATCCATTTCTACTGCATCTTAATGTCCATGGTACCTGCAGAGTTACTTAGTCTGTTGGTGGGCCAGAGTGCATTGGGAGAGCAGAAATTATTGGTGAGCAGCTCTGCATGTTGATGGCACTGGGGATCCGCTCTTATTCAGTATAGACCAGTGTGGGCAGCTTGTGCATCGTAGGCTGAAACCTCTGTAGGGACACAACACCTTCGCCAGCACAGCCAATGATGAGAAATGACAGAAATGGCAAGCCAAGGCATCTGGAAGGCCACCGGTTGCCCACCTCCAGTAGAGGCCATACTGAGCTGGATGGCATAAGGCCACAGCTGCATACGTCATCAAAGCACAACAGCACGGTGCTTTTAAAAAGCTACTTTAAAAGATCTAATTCCTTAATTAACTAAACCCCTTTCATTATTAGACTAAGATTTCTTTAACCAGACCTAGATACAGGCGCATCATTAATTTGTTGTACTTCAGGCACATTAAGGCTTTGGCCACCCGGCAAACAATCTAGATGCGGCCGTCTCTGCTGGATGCTTTCCATGCACTTCTCTTTCCCTCTCTTGACAGCAGGTGCTTCTCCCCTCCCTCTTGAACTTTTTACAGGTAAAGTTATTTTTGTGGTTGATCTATTATGCAGTCAGTAAGATGGCAATGCTATTTGTGCATTTCATAAGCAAGATTTCCCCCTTTTTCACAGAGGAAACCTCTGGAAGCTGTACAACCACTGTGGCATTTTACTACAGGCTGGTGCATACAGACTGCAGCATATCAGATAAAAGGAAAACAGGATTGATTACTGTTGGGTCCCTGGCTGGAAAACTCCTAGATTTCAACAAGCATTTGCCAATATCCTGACAAGCAGACTACTGTTGGCATGTAGTTAGTCAACTTGGGAAAATGGTGTTTACAAAGTTCTAGATGGTTTACTTAGTTACTTAAAGCACTTTAGCTCCAGTCGTTAACCAAAAAGGCTCCCAGAGCAACTCCAAGATCAATGAAAATAGAGAGGCTCTGCCCTCAGATTAAGCTCTAAAAGGCAAGGGAGGAATGTGACACAAGGAAAAAGGAATGGGGAGGAAGGAGAAAAATGCAAGCTTGTGTACTGCTAGTTATACAAGTAACTTGACACCATGCACACACAAGAGGATGGTGTCAGCAAGCTTGGAAAAAGTCCCAAGTTTGCACAAGTACAAAAAAAAAAAGCTTCCAGGAAAAAAAAAGGAACACCTAAGGTAAGGACACCTCTAAATCAGCCCAATGTGGATCGAGCATGTACAGTTATGCTGATAACTGGGGAAATGTGGAGAAAACTAGGAGGGTAGGGAAATGGAACGGAGTATCCTGAAAGAGGGCATGGCTGGTTGACCGACTGGAATGTCGGATACCAGCACACCGCACTGCAGGACTTGCAGCAACATTTACGCCCATTTCCTAACAAGGCCATTAGCAGGCACGACTGTGGCTTCCCCAACACAAAATTGCATTTGAGGGAAATTTCTGTATGGAGAAGAAAACAGTATTAAAAACAGAAATCCTGTATGTTTGAATGATGTTTTTACACTTAGGGATGGAGCAGGTTTTCTGCTGATCATCTCAGCTTTCAGAAGTTGATTCATGCCTCTGCCAGGCAGAAGAGGAGGAACTGGCTGCCATCCTGAACAGCTGCCAAGTTCAACAACAACTGACGTGCAGATTTGCTATTTCCATCCTGATACGGAGTTGGAACTGCCCCAGGGACATCTGAAGCAAATGAGCCTGTGGTGGCTGTGCAGTCCTTTGGAACGCGCCCCCATCCTCGTTTTCTAGTTTTACAGAGGCGAGAAACATCGGGATCTTTAGTCCTTCGGGAATGATGCAGCAAAAACAGGCCCAAGTAAAAAGACAAGAAATGATCTGTGTGTTTGCCATCGCTGTACCTCCTGGCTAGGAATTCCGCTAGACTTTGTGTCTATCTAGCCCCAGTATTCTCCAGCTCAATTCCATTGTGAAGAAACTTTTGGGGGCTGCATTCCCATCATGCATGGAGCCCAAGGCAGAAAAAAGCGACCCAAAAATATCAGTGGAGGAAATGTGCATCTTGTGAAGCATGTGCTCTTCCACTAAGCCCTGCTCCCTTCAAATATCAAGGCCATGATTAAGCCTTGCAGCTTTCTTAAAAACAAAAAATCAAGTTTCTAGACCTGGTGACTGCAGCAAAAGGATTTAAATGATTAAGCCAGAGGGAGCCCTTGCAACACTAAAATTGTGGACCAGAAGCTTTTCAATGTGCAGCTCAAACATGGCTGGGGAGAACATTTAAATAAATGAACCATTCCACTAGAAGGGCTGCCACATATAAATGATAGGGGCACGTACTTCTTTCTGCCCCATGAAAGAGCTCAGAAGTGGCTCCTGTATGGCCCATGCAGAAGGAAGGGAAGAGAATCTCGTGTCCCTCAGCCAGAGTAGGTTCTCATCCTGAAAACATGCACTACGAAGAGGAACCAAACTGAGGCCGCCTGAAAAGCCACAGGAAGTAGCACATGGGTGATCTGCGGGTGCAGCAGCCTTTGCCCTACCAGAGGCTCCCCACTGCACAGGCGAAAGGCACCATCGGCATAGAGGTTTCCCTAGTAGTGGAGGGTGCGGGGGGAGGGGTGCTGGAGGCATCAGCAGGGTGAGGCAAACATGTCTGTTTTGCTTTCCCTTCTGCTTAGATTTTTAAAATCTCAAATGTTTTCTCTCTCCTGTAGGAAGAATTTTGCAAACATTGTTGAATTCAGATCCAACAGAACTGAGTGCACATTCTGCTCCTCTGCACCAGCCCTATTTAATACCGCAGCGATTCCCTGCATGGATAGGACCATGTGGCACGTACCTGAATCAAAATTCTCACCCATCTCTGGTCATGCACAGGAGTGTTTCAGAGGCAGATACAAAAACAGGATGGTGACCGCCAAGAAAAGCAGAAAGCGCTGAAAGGGTTCTGGAAATTACTGCCAAATTTGGCTGTAATTTTGAACTTTTAGCTCAGCTTTAGCATGAATTATGAGGCTCCAGAACGATGATACACAGCCTCCCCCTGCCCTGCCCCCTGGAGATCTTGGTGTGAGAAGAACGTCACACATTAATCAGACACCTGAAAACTCAGGTTTGGAGAATGTCATCTTTGTGATATGTCAACTGATGTTATAAAGAGCAAGGGCTATGCATGGATACAACCAATTCCCAAAGCCCTGTCATTCTGTCCCCACCCCAAATCAAGAATAGGCAATTCCTTCCCTTCCTCTACTCATTGCAGTGCAAGGGATGAAGCAAAACAGTTCTGGGCACCACAGATAGGCAGACAAGCTGGAAAGGGCTCAGGGGAGGTGACAAGGATGATCTGGGGACTCGAAACAGAGCCCCATGAGGAGAGATTGAGAGAACTGGGCATGTCTAGAAGAGAAGACCGAGGGAGGCTATGATAGCGCTTCACAAGGACTTGAAAAGTTGTCATACAGAGGAAGGACAGGATCTTTCTCAATTATCCCACAGTGCAGGACATGGAATAATAGGCTCTGGTTACAGGAAGCAGGTTCCGGC